AAGATTCCAACTAGCTGTTGTTGTTTTTTAATCTGCTGTTTTGTACCAGGGTTCAAATTGAGGGTTGGTTGGTTTTCCTTAGTTGGGTTACATTTGACCCAGAAACAAAAGCAAGCCTATGTGGGTGGTGGGCGCTGGGGTAGCTGGGCAGCTGTAAGACATGGCTCTCTCCTGGGCATCCTCAGACCCCATGTTTCTGAAGTAACAATTCATGTCAACCATGCAGAACTGAGTCTGGTGGTCTGGGCAGCCTTTAAAACCCACCTTTCAGGGGCAGATGGCACCCTAGCTGCCACAGCCCAGTTGGAAGGGGTGGGTGCTGACTGCTTGGTGGGCAGTCTCTGACAAAGGGGGCTCCCTGCTGGTGTGTCCATGTTCTGAATGCTGCTGTTCCCTGTACATCATATGGAATCCTCGAAATGTCTAGACTTCAGTTTTCATCCTTTCTCGGTGGAAACTAAGAATCCCTTTCCTGAATTGGGTGTCACAGGTTTGGCTTTACACAAGGAATTGTTTAGTCTACGGTGCTGCTGGCTGGGCTGGCTGCTGGGGCTGCCTTGTCTGCAGGTGCCTGGGAAGTTGTGTCAGTGTTACGCTCTGGTCTTCACACTATGGAGAGTTGGTTTACAGTGATGGATAGGAGTGGGATGATTTGCCCACAAGTAAGACATGGTGTTCCAGGAAGCATGGTACACCTGCGGCAGGCAGCCTATTACCAGTGTCTTCCATGTCTCGTGACTTCCTTTTAGGCCTGCTTGTTTGCTAAAAGGTGGCTTCTAAAGTGCTGACTCCTGCGTGGGAGTGAGTAGTCATTGAAATGATCGCCCTCTTACCTCTCTGAATTAAAACCAAATGGGAAAACTCCACAAAGGTCTTCCAAGGAAAAACCCGGCTTTTCCCATTTCATAAACTTCAGGTGGGTTCTTACAGAAACGGCTCATTAACTCACCCCGGAAAGGCAGCCTGATCACTGGCACATGCAGCAGGTGTCATGTTGGGAATGTCCCATGTTTAGGAGGTTTCTTGTCTGATCCCTAGGGAACGACTCCCGAGTGCAGTTTCCTTAGGGCCTGTCATCTAATTAGGAGGCTTCCCTGAACTCAGCTGAATTAGTTGTCTTTTCAAGGTAGAGAGTTCTCTCTTCTTGAGTCCCAGCAGTACCTTTTTTTACAGTGGCTCCACTTGTGAGTGGAGGCCCTTCTGGGGGACACTCCTTCCTCTGCACTTGGAGGCACTACCAGTCCATTACCAACAGCTTGTAATTTGTTTCTAATGTGACCACAGGAGACCATCAGTCAGTCATTTATCCAACTAGAGTGAAACCTTGCTTCTTAGATTTGCTTATTTATTTGCTAAAAGTAGCTTTTACTGCGCTGATCCTGCCTGAGAATGAGTAATAACTAAAAGGAGCGCTTGATGGCCTGTCTGTATGGTCTCACTGGCTGATCCCATCCTTTTTCCTTGACGTTTGCCCCTGACAATCCAGCTTCCACCACCGGTAACATGTAATTGCTTTCATCTTCGAAGTGGGGCTGGCACTATGTTAATGCTCAACTTAGGGATTCTAGGGGGCAATCTTGTTTAAAAGCCTCCACTGGCCCCTAATGTGCATGCTCACTGACCAGGAAACTCTGAGCCTGGCTCCCCTGGCTTGACTCTGAACAGCATGGCCCTGTAGTGTGCCTGTGCCGGACCGTCTGAGCTGCTGGGCCTGCTGCCTGAGCACTGAGGGCTGTGCTTCTCGTTGGACGATGGGAGCTCAGGTGGGTGGGCCATGTTCACCCTGGTGTGGCCCGGCACACTGATCCGGAGCCCCCGTTGAAGGGGCATGGACTTGGGCGGCGGAGCAGTGGTCACCAGGAACCAGATGGGAGTCCCTGGGCCACATTTCCTTTCTGATGGGGGACCATCCCCTGAAGGGAAGGGGCTGCTTTTCACTGAGGCATGTGACAGAAGGAAGATGGCTCTGCACAGTCTGGTAATAATACGGGTTAAGCAGTGTGATTCAGCCTCAAGAGCTGTGTTTAGCAGCCCTCATGGTGGGCTAAAGAAGGCTTATCAGATGAATAGATAATACAAAACTAGGAGAAACAGTATGTGCTGGATGGCAGTATGGAGATTTAGAAAGACCTGGACAGGCCGAAACAGGCCCAATGAAAATGACATGGTGTGTACAGGTCTGCAATGAGGTTGGCCCATCAAGGGTGTGGGAAGATTCTGCTCTGGATAAGAGTTTGCACTACAGAGGCCTAAGACTGAGAATCCTGAAACTGCCTAAAATCCCCCCACCCCCACCCCCACCCCGGCCCCCTTGGCCTTAATGCGGAGCTAAGTCCCTTCCCTAGTCCCCAGGGGGAAAGTCAGATCAGCTCCGCCACTTGAAGTGGGTGTGTGTGAATGGTGTTTCTTGTGTGAGTAAGAAGCATTTACTGGCTATAAATACAGAGTCCTGGGCGTCCAGGATCAGAATGAGTGGGCACATCTGGGGACCCTTATTTATGTCCACTAAATTTCAGTCTTTACTGTTCTTGAGATGTTGTCTTTTCCTAATGAAATCAAAGGGCTTCTTTTTCTAAGCACTGGGCTGGGGTTCCTGGGGTTGCTGGCCTGGGGAGGGGCTTTTATGCAGCTTGTCCTCCTGCAAGAATCAGAGGAGTTTGCTTCTCAGTCACCCAAGGCAAAGGTGACCCTATTTGCCGTGTGCTCTGCAGCCCTTAGGATGACTGCTTTTGAACCGTGCGAATGGCAGGGTGTTTGGCATTACATCTCAGGGGTCTACTGGTTTCCATCGAATCCTGCTGCAATTGCTCTGATTAACGAAGAGCACATTTCACCTTGCTGACCTTGGGCTTCTGTTGTGTGCTAATGTCATTCAAGGCTGAAATCCTTTCCTTGGGGCACCTCTGCTAACTCACAGACCTGTCAGCCACTCACTGCATTAGGCCCAGTACATGTTGTAGGTTGTCATCATCTTAGAGATCAGGGTAGTCGTCCTGCATCTTTTGTGTTTCATTATTGGATTCTTTCAGAGAAACAATTCTTTACTGATTATCTTGACTGTTGGGTTCTAAGGGAGATAAAACATAAGTGCGATGTACTACCCTCAAGAGCTCAGGCACTCTGCTGAGCCCGAGGCCCAGACTTCCCCTCAGTGGCCTTCCCCCCAGCTCTCGGCAAAGAAATGTAGTAAGCGCGTCCAGCCTAACTGTCTCTTTCTCTCGCCCCTCCATCCTAAGGGTGAGCTTGTCGGCCACAGACTGTTACATCGTGCACGAGATCTACAATGGGGAGAATGCACAAGACCAGTTTGAGTATGAGCTGGAGCAGGCCCTGGAAGCCCAGTACAAGTACATCGTGATTGAGCCCACCCGCATCGGTGATGAGACCGCCCGCTGGATCACCGTGGGCAACTGTCTGCACAAAACCACCGTGCTGGCGGGCACTGCCTGCCTCTTCACCCCGTTGGCACTGCCTTTAGATTACTCCCACTACATCTCCCTGCCTGCTGGTGTGCTGAGCATGGCCTGCTGCACCCTCTATGGAATCTCCTGGCAGTTTGACCCTTGCTGCAAGTACCAAGTGGAGTACGATGCCTATAAACTGTCCCGCCTGCCCCTGCACACACTCACTTCCTCCACCCCGGTGGTGCTGGTCCGGAAGGACGACTTGCACAGAAAGAGACTGCACAATACGATAGCACTTGCTGCCCTGGTGTACTGTGTAAAGAAGATTTACGAACTCTACGCTGTATGATTTCAGTAGAATGGGGAGAAGCAAACAGCCCAGCCCACAAGAGACAACAGAGTATTCAGATTGCACAGTAACATTTTTGCTCTGTGAGGCAGTGGAGCCCAGGAAGGTGTTTGGTTTAATATTTGTTATTTTTAAAATAACATAGATCACAAATGTACCAAGGGTTGTTTCAACTCATCACACTAAGATGTGGATTTCCGTAACCCACAGGCCTGAGCTGTGGAAGCCTGACCAGGCAGTGGAATGTTGATGGAAGCATTGCTACTGAGGGGTGTGAACACGCTTAGGGGCGGGGGGGGGGGAGGGCAGGGTCTTTAAGTATATTGTTTAACTGTACCATCCAGAGCCAACCAGAAGCTATTGACCATTAAAATTATGAGAATTTCAAGTCCAGGTGTCTTCTTTCCGTGACTGTGTCTGCAGCGACTGCTGCAGTCTGCCTTGGTGGCCGCTTGCACATGGAAGGAGTGGGTGACACAGAAGCCACCCTGACCCCAGCCTGGTGTCACCACTTGCAGCAAGAACAGGCCTTTGAACAGGGCAGGCTTAAAGACTTGAGGTGGTCCTGGGCCAGCCCCCTCCCAGAGCCATCTCGTCTACTCTGGCCCTGTTTCCGAGGCCGGCTGCTAAATGCTGTTCAGGGACGTGGTAGGATAGGGTGACAAGGCCTAGAGGTCACTGGGTCTCCATTTGGGTTCACAGGAGAACTGGGGCCATGAACCTCTTGTCCAGATTCTGATTTTAGAGGGCACAGAAACTAACATCTGCAGTTTTTTAAAGCACTGAAGCTGTTCCTGATGTGAACCCTGAGTTCAACCCATGGCTCTAGGCTGAGGGAAGAGCCTTCAACGCAGCCTCTGCAGCACCCCCACCTGCTTGCCTGGTGCCCTCATTCCACAGAAGCTGGTCCGTGCTCCTCCCTCACGCCAAAGAGCACATTATGCACGTCTTCCACATTCCCTGTTAAAGTTCTGGAGAAATGGAAAATTACCCTCCACAAAGAAGTTGGGCCCCTGCCCTGAGTGCAGGTTTTCTAAGCCCTCTGCTCTCGGCCGTCCTTGAAGAGCCATGGAGCACTTCCTTGTGAAGGGCCCATTTTTAAGGGGCAGCTAGGTCGGCTTTTCACCTTTGAAAGGATCCAGCAGGAATATCTGATACTAGACAGTAACGAAGCGGTGCATAGGAAGGCATCGGGGGTGACCGGGCCATTTTTTGGGGGGGAGATACAGAGCTTCAAAAAGATAAAATGAAAGAATACTTTCTTTATTGAATTGTCCTGGTATCCTTGTTGAAAATCAACTGCCAGTATATGTAAGGTCTTATTTACATATATGTAAACAAAATAGAAACAACAAAAAAACGGGATCCATGGCCCACAAAGAGTTTGAGAAACTGATTTAATTCCATGGGCCCTGGAGACACTAATTACTCAGTTGAGTGCTGGGTGGCCAAAATGGTGTTGGGTAAACACTACTGTTGACATGGCAGTCTAGCCATCTGGAACAGTGAATTGGTAGTGATCCCAAACAGACCTCATCTTGAACATTGCCCATGACCCCCTCGGATGTCTGACTGCTGGCTCCTGAGTCTGTTAGGCAGGAACAGTAGGTGTTTTTGTAGTAGCCCAGATTTGGAAGAGGAGCCCCATACTCTGCCTTCAGATTTCAAGGGGGAGGCGGCTAGAATTAGACAAGCAGTGGCCATCTCAGGACAGCTGAGCAGAAGCCATCACCAGAAATAGAAGCCAGGTGCGTGCAGGGGACAACGTGATTCTTGTTCGGTGGACAAGCCCAGATTCTGAAATGCCACCTTGGTTACATGTTGTGTCTTATGCCAAGGAGGGGAAGACGTGGTGCTGCTGTGGCCTGCAGGGCAGGGGTTTTGTATTCTAGGATGCACCACTTGAGCAGTTCCCCCCATCGGCTGGGAAGGAGCGCAGCAGAACCAGCCTTGTGTCTGGACGGCCTGCCCTTCCGTTGGCGTTGACTTTCCTATTTCTGCCACCTACATAGACATCACTGATAAGTGGGCAGTGTTCGTCTATAACATGCCACAGTGCTCTTGAAAGAGCATGAAGTAACTGCCAACTGAGAGAGCAGAGGCCAGGTTAGCTGGGCCCTCTGCAAAGTGCACACACATAAGTCCTGTGTAGACCGTGTCATGATGGATCATGCAGTTATCCTGATACGTGAGTCTCAGCTGCCAGCCTCACTCCAACTTCAGAGAAGAGCAGAGCCTTGGTAAGGGCCAACTCAGGAAACGGGGAGGAGCCAACCCTGGCAAACTTGTCTCTCTCCTTGTTACAGTCTGTTCCCTCCCAAGTAGTGTTCACATCTGGTTCAGCAGCTGTCGGTCCCTGATAGAAGCAGGAGGCTCCTTCCTCCATCCATCTAATTACGCATGAGCTGCCGTCACTCAGTACACAGATGTGCAGTGTTTCTGGCTGGAAACTCATTTGTTTTTCAGACTGATCTTGGCATGAAGCTCAGGACAGCCTGCTTCTGCCCTCAGACCACTGAAACACCAAGAGTTTTGAAGAGGAAAGTGGAAAGTGCCTTTGAACTTTATTTGAAGGCAGAATTCAGAATCATGCTTTTCAAACCTACCCATAATTCAAGGATGAAAGAGACAGGAAAACCACCTGAGGGCAGAAAAGAGAAACTGGAACAGCAGGAACACCACTACCCCTGGTGGCAGATGTTCACAAAGGGGCCTTGAGGCTCTGAGTGAAAGGCCCAGGCCAGGCCTGGCCCAGCTCCCCTCTCCAGGGCACTCTTGTGCGGGGCACTGGCCCTCAAGAAAGAGCTGCCGCCCACGTCATGATGACTCCAGCAGGCTCCACAAGCTCACTTTACCCAGATATGTTCTCCAGGGAGGGGCGAGCCACTAGAGGCACCAAGATGGTTTGAGGTACACTGTGGCCATTGGAGGCCCTTTGTGGTGGTCCTCCTGGCCCGAGGCCAGAAGAGAGAGAGAGAGAGTGTGTGTGTGTGTGTGTGTGTGTGTGTGTGTGTGTGTGTGTGGTGCGAGCTCATTTTAATACCTCCATGCAGCCACCTCCTCAGGAGCAGCTGGGCCTCAGAGCAAGCCTTTGGCAGACAGTGGATCCAGCTAGATTTTAATGGTTCTGTTTGTATTATGTTATTTCCTATTTATAAAGAAGATAAAGTTTCTAAAGTAATTTAGAAAGTGAACTGAGTTTTTTAAATGTTAGGTAAATAAACATTTAGTGGCATTTGGCTATGGCCCAAGTGTCATACCAAGTGAGACATCTGTGTCTTCTCCAAATGCCACGTCCCAACCCATAGCTGAGTCAGGGCTCGGTAGGCTTCCAGCCACTTATCACAATGGCTCCCAAACCAGCCATCTCAGCAACACAGTTGGTGGCATTTTTTGATGATGGCATTCGTGCCTACTCACAGGGCAGTGTATCACATCAGTCTTGGTTGCTGACCGTTTTATTTAATGGAGAGGAAGGGACAGCACCTGGACATGGGCCCTTTTGAAAATTCCAGCCAACAAGTGTCCAGGGAGAGATGTTCTCATTCCCGTTTACAGAGACCACCTCCTCTCCTGCTGCCTTTTACCGAGGATCTGCTATGCACTTGGCAATTTTATTTGACCTCAGACTTGGGCCAGGCTTTAGTGTGGCTGCCGCTGCTGGCTCAGGTCCAATGCTTCTCTGATGTGAACACTGAGTGACCCTTTCTCTTTCATGTCAGAAGGGAGGCAGTGGTTTCTGTAGAAAGTGAAAAGCCACCCATCACGTCTGTATCCACATTTCAACCCTGGGCTCCTGCAATGTCTGGGCTGTGGTAGGGGCTGGAATTGGTCACCAGGCCTAATCGTCCACCCCTCAGCGTCCTACTCCCAGGAAACTCGAGAGCTTTCAACACCCAACCACAGGCTGGCTTTGGCCATTTTTATTTTATGGGTAGATGTTTAAAATACAAGCTCCAGAGATCCAGAATTAGTGTAAGATATCAGTATAATATGCTAGGAGATTTTTATTCTAATTCGGGGAAACCTATGCAGTGGACCTACCATTTCCAGTGTCAGCTTCAATACTGAGAAACTTTTCACCTTAAACTTCAGGTATGAAGTGGACTTAATGAACCTCAACTGTGTATTTGTAATAAATCATAAAAGTGGACACGGGCACCTTTTCTGGCTGCGCTCCAATGCTAACAAATGGGCTGCTTCCGCCAGGGGCCAGATGCTGCTTTACGAGCCCTCCCCACCTGACTGGGTCTCTGAGTCGTATTTTCTAGAGGATACACGGGACCATGCCGGATTTTCCTCTCCCGTTTGGCTTATGTCTCCTTAGTAAATTCACGTGCTTGGAGTGGTGCCTGATCCTACAGGGCTTTGAGTGGGAGTCAGCAGGGAAACTGGGGAATTCTTTTAGGTACTAAAGCCAGTGTCACTTAGGATATGTCAAATGATTGATTACATATTCGCCCATTTGCTGTGTTGAATGAAATACGGTAGGAACCTGGAAATACAGCCTTCTCCCTTTAGTACTGGAGGTGGAGTCTGCCAAAACAATTAGGTAAGTGGTCTTGGATAAGTCAAATACGGAAACAACTGTGTCAAGGTGACGTCAGGAAGTCTTCTGATTTCAAGACGGAAACACTTTCTAGGAGCTGGTGCACGTTGGCACTCAAAGGAAGCATGGTTCTTCTAGTCCTTGAGGACTATGACTCTTCCCATTCCATTCATTTATTCATATTCTTAGCATTAAAATCCAGCTGCACATTTATACTTAAGCGTTAGCCCTCACCCTTGAGAAGCCCGCTGCCGCCTTTGTTTCCCATCCTCTAAGCAGGAGCCTAGCCAGGGATCTGCAGTAGTGTACCTCTGTCTTTCCTACCTGTGAGACAAACATCCAGTAAAGTCTCAACAAATGCAGCTCTTCCTTGTAGGGCAGCCGTTCTCCCAGGCAGGTGCTGTTTCCTGCCCCAACTGCTGTGGCACTAGGAGCTCTTGGATTTCTGCTCCTTTCTGGCTCGGGAGGCCATCAGGCTGAAGAAGAGACCAGGAGCCAGAGTTCGCAGATAAATGGCCAAGGAAGGCAACAGGTCTGCCAGGATCACATCTTTCTTTTTCTTCCCCACAGCAGCCAGGACATCTCGGGCCACCTCCATAGGCCTTCGGCCCTGGGCCGTGGTCTTGTCCATAACTAAAACAAAGGGAACACATGAGCTTGGAAGCAGAAGTTACTCTGTCAAGGAGTTGAGCTGATGAGGACTGTCATCAGGTCAAATGGCTGGATTTCCCATCATGAAGCTCCTCCCACAGGCTGTGGGGAGGCAGGTGGGACACCACCATCCCTGGCTCCCTTGCACTTTAAGGAAATGAGGACCCATCAGTGTATGTGAGTTGGGGTGAGAGAGACATGGGTGCACGGGAATAAGGCAGATGGGGCCCCAGCCAGTGCTCAGAGCTAGGATAAGACCAGCCCGGAAGGGGTCTGAGTTAGCCCCTCATACCACAGCTGAGCAGCTTCCTGACTTGGGGAATTTTTGTCTTTTCAAACAACCTGTGACTAAAGATGATGTATCATCAAATTAACCTTGGGTAACCTGGCTTGAGTCTGCCAGATAGGAGGTGGGAGAAGACTACAACCCCCATATGCATTATGAGCTCACTGAAGTCAAAGTGAAGAAGTGAGTCAGAAGAGCTGTCACAGCTCCCCACATCATGTGCTAACTGGATAGGGAGCAGGAGAAATCCTTCGTTTGTTTTAGGTGTTAGGGATAGCTGGGGGAGCTTGGGAGGTGTTAGGCTGGTTAACAGCCACTGATGTTCCTTCTTCCCCGGTAATCTGACTTTTGCCAACAAAGTAGGACTAGTGGCAGGCAGCAGACAGGCCACTAGCACAGACAATTTAAAACCACTTGTCAGTTGTCCAAACTGCTAAGCACCCTCACCAGTATCTGTTCTCACTGTGTTTTTGTTAACACAGAAGAATAGGAGGTTTCTTATTGTTGCTTATTTTTAAATGCCATGGACGGGATTTTTAAAATAAGATTCTTCTAAGTATAAAGAAGGTAAGTATGAATCTCTCTGAATCTATGCCTCTATCTGGTTTCTGTTGGCTTGCTGAGTGAGACAGCAGCTGCTACCCAGGGCACAGGCAGTCTTGGTTCAGATCTGGCTGGGATGGGGTGTAAGACAGGAGGCCCCTGGTGAATGCCACGGCACAGGCCCAAGAGATCACATCCAAGGAGGCGGGGCATGGAGGCCAGGACTGGGGTGGGCAGGCCCTGTTCAAGCTCGGGAAAGGAGAGCCAGCTCCCACTGCAACAGCACACGTGGGTCAATTGACCTGGGAGGCAAAAGCCAATTAATTGGTCTCTGCTTGCCCTGAGCCTGCATGCTGGGGCCAGTCCATTGGGCCCACCAGTGGTGACTGCAGGTCAGCTCAGCACTGTCTTTGGCTAAAACAAGATGGAGATTCTGAGACTGGTGCACCCAGCCTCATCCTAGAAGACTGGCTTCTTTGCTTTGAGGACCCTGAAATCGGTTATTTCTCAAGTATAGTGGGTGGGGAACCTCTGGGTCAAGCAACCCATAGTTTCCAGGAGGTTAATTCACTTCAATTCACTGAGAATGGGTTAGTTGGAACTCTGATGGCATTTAAACTTGGGGACTTCCTTTCCAGCCCTCAAAGCCCTATTCTATAGGGACCCTGTTCTGACAGTTGCAATGGGATGGTTCATGGTAAGTGAAGATTAGTTCGTATATATAACCAACACCCATATGTACGTTTGTTCATTTTAAAAATTATATTCAAATAAATGAGAAAAGAATCATCAGAAAAGAGCAGTGTCTCAATGTAGCCAACCAATAGCTTTTTATAAATGACAACCCGGGGCCTCACCTCCATATTTGGAGCCATCGGCAGTGAGGGCGTTTAGAGAGAGGTTGGTGTGGATGTAGCCAGGGCTGATGACAGTCACCTCAATATCATACTGCTCCATCTCAGCGCGCAGACAGTCAAAGAAGGCCTGGGTGGCATGTTTGGAGGCCGCATCTGCAAAGTGTGGTGGCCAAAGGCGGGCAAGTGAGCTGGTGTGGGACATGGCCTGGGACAAGCCCACACAGTCACTCTCTTTTATTTAAAAAACTTGTTTTATAATTTAAGGTTACTAGGGTATTATAGCAGTGTTCACCTCTTGGCAAATACCTAGGAGGAAAAGAGCATTGTATCTCCAATGTTCTTCAAATGGTCCAGGAAAGGAAAATTATACGAATTATGTACATATATGTGCATACACACACACACACACACACACACACACAATATAATAAAGCAAATATGGTAAAATGTTAACAACTGGGGAATCTACATGAAGGAGTTCTCTGTACTATTCCTGCGACTTTTCTGTAAGTCAGAAATCATTCCACTTTAAAAGTTAAACAAAAAACAAAACTTAATGCCTAATGTATAAAACATTCAAATAACACAGAAGGATATAAAGTAAAAAAGTGAAAGTCCTACCAATTTCATTCTCCGGAGGTAATCAATGTTAACTGTCTCTCAAGATTTTTTATATATCCTATGTACATGCATGTGATTTACATGTAAGTAATATATTTTTTTACAGAAATGAGTTCATACTGTTTGTATTATTCCTGCAGTTTTCTTCACCTGGTGACAGACAAGACAGCATCTGCGCCAGCCATACAGACCCACCTGCTCCTCCTTGGGCTGACAGACTACAGAACTGGCCCCGTCAGTGAACCTTCAAGCGTTGTTTCCAGGTTTTGTCATTGAAACTGTGCTACTAGTGAGCATCCTTGCATGTGTGGGATATGAAATGCGAGACCAGTTCTCCTATGTATTTCATTTGACAAACTTCCATTAAGTGGCTTTTCATCTGGAAGAGCTATTGAGCTTGCTTCACCTTCAAGAAGCGGAGCCACCTCTGTTCCTCAGCGATGGCTCCACAACTTGGTGAGAGGAACTCTGAATGGGGATGCAGCAACCCTGCTGCAGCATTCTTGGGAAACACACACAGCATGTCCACTGAAAAATCGGCTTCCTTTAATTCAGGGTTCTAAATGTTTTGGCTGTAGCAAAGAGGGATCCATCAGCCAATAAAACAGGAAGGGCAAGACCCAGGAAGTATTCTCACACAAGAAATTCAACAGTGTCTGAACTTGCTGCAGTGCCTTCTGGGGCCAACTCCTTTGATTTAGGCCAAGTTGCTGGGGGCTGGGTGAGAAGTATGTGGGCAACTGCTCCTGTCAGCCGGGATTCCAGGCATGCTGCCCAGGACCAAGGACTGAGATGAGGGAGTCATCCGGGGGGTCCCCAGAATAGAAGGCTGCACCCTGACAAAGAGTCTCCCAGTGCTCTCAGGCTGGGGGTCCTCAGTGCCTCCTATCTGCAAGGCACCTGGTCCTCACAGCATAGGGGGAGATGAAGCTGCTCTCCACTGTACACATGAGGGGACTGCTGTTCCACAGGGTGACCAATGTGCCCAGGAGGTACCGCCACATTCAGTCTGGTCATTGTAAAGAGCCCAGACCAGCTGCGTGTGACCTACTTTACTCACAGGTCAAGTGGAGAATAAAACAGATGAAATCAAAGTAAACCTTGGCAATAATTTAGTACCGAGAACACGATATAGCCTTTATCCTGACTTACCTATTATTAATAGTTTACCTCATTTGTTTTATCATTTGTGAACACACACACACACACACACACACACACACACACGTATTTATTTGAGCAGCCTTAAAGGGTCTGTCCTATGCTGTTGGAGTTGAAACAGAAATAACCACCATAGAAACAAATATAGATACCATGCTTCTCAATTTACCAAGGACTTTTCATCTCCATTTGTCTCATTTCATCTTTAAAACAGCTTAGTGAAGCATGGAAGATGACTGTAAGTCTCATTTTATAAGAAAGGAAAAGGAAGGTCAGACAAGTTAAACAGCTTGCCTGAGGACACACAACTAAACCCAAAAGGCAGAGCTGGCTTCAGCGAGGAGTAAATTTCTGTTACGTTTCCACCTCAGACAGTTGGCTGCCCCATATCATCCAGTTGGATGTCTGTTCCTGTTATTTCAAAGTGCTGAAGCAGGTCTGCCCTCCCTGCCTTCCTGCCAAATCAGCTGGGCGTGGCTGAGTCTAGCATTTGGAAGTGGTGAGGACAGATGACAATGTGCTGATAACAAGTCAGTATTTGCTTCCAGAGGGTGGAGCAAAGAAAGGAGTTACTAGGACAGTTTGTGAAATTAACCTTTAAAATCTTTTAACTAAAGAAACCTAGATTTTGTTTGCTTGCTGGTACAACATGATGGCAGACAGGTGAAATGATATCTCAAAATTCTGGCATAGCCAATTGGATACATGGAGATGAGAGTGCGAAATGAAAGTCAATTTGGCAGGTTTAATTATATGGTCCTACCTATTATTTCCACTTTGGGGAATTTAACTTACTGAAACCCTCCCAGGAGTGCCTAGATATAAATATTTAAGGATGTTCTATGTAGCACATCATTGTTAATGATCAGAGACTGAAGAGAAAAAAATCTTCAAATGTCCAGGAAAATATCTGAATAAATTATGTCATATATCCATTCAATGAACCTCTATATATCCACTTAAAAGCATTAGGTAAATCCATTATATACTGATGTAGAAAGATATATTGTTAAGTGGAACACACAAGCCATAAAACTATACATAATGTGATCCTGTTTTTGTATGTTTGATCATATGGAGAAAAAATTTGGAGGCCTATGTCAAAAGTGACGAAGTGCTTCCGGTAAGATGGTGGAATAGACAGACTCTGTGCCGACTGCCTCCCAGGATCACACCAAAATTACAAATAATTTATAAGATATTCAACCTCGGAAGTTCCCTGGACCCTAGATGAGCAGTACCTCTAAACGAAGGACTTAAAGAGGAGGCCACATTGAGTCTGGTAGGAGGGGCGGAGACAAGAGAGGGCAAACCCCGTGAGGGACACATCAGCAGTGGGGAGGCTTCTCCGGTTGGAGGCGAGACCTTCCGGCCCCACACCGCGCTCACCACCCCAGAGTTACTTTGCCGGGAAGAGGAGTTCTACAATAGCTGTAAGGAGAAAATAGTGAGGACTCTCTTTGCTCGGCTCGGTGAGGCTGAGGGCAGTGGGAGAACCAGTGGAGCCGGCAAACCGACTCGCTCACTGGTGAGCACTCACCCAGTTCCTGGTGGAGGGAGTGGCTTTGTGAGCGGAGCCCAGGAGCCTGTGGGAAGGACTGAGCTGAGTGCCTTTGCGCGGGAGCTGGAGGTTTTTGGGACCATTGTTCCCCTGGTGTGGAGCTTGCACACGAGTAGTGCACAGGAGGGCACCATTTTTTCAGGGCTGGGCCCTCCCACAGAGGCTCAGATCTGGGACTGCATTGGTCTGCTGGAATTGGCGCAGGAGTATGTGTGTGCGTGCGTGCGTGCGTGCACATGCGGCCTTGGATCCCCACCCTACACACTGCTTGTGCTGCGTAGCTAGGGAAACGCCTGTCAGGCGCGCTCTGACTCCAACAGACTGCTTATTGGGACCCAGAAGTGCGCGACTCGCCTTAGGTCCCCGATTTCCACACTGCGCGTGCAGAGTTGCCTAGGTGGAGATTGACTGTCAGGCTGCTCGGCCTGATCTGCAAGCGGCTAATTGGAACAGGCTAAGACAGGGAGTTTTCCTGGGAGTGTAGGGCCGTGAGCTGCGCACCTGCGTGATTCGGCCGGGGCTTTCCAGGCGAGTTTGGGTGGGTTGGTTGCCGATGCAGGAGTGCATGCTGCTCTGACCTGGTGGGGGCCACTAACCACATCCTGTGGTGCCTTGGGGGCCTGCCCCGCCCACCTAGAGCTGTGTTGCCAGGGGCACCCTGAGCCCCTGGTCCCTGGCTCCTACAACCGCAGGCCACAGAGGATTTTTTGCAGCAGCAGACAGCCCGCAACAACCTGTGAGGATTTTTGGTGGTGAGCACAGTTCCAGAGTACACAGCAACTAATTGTGGGAAGCTTACTTCAAGTCTAGAGGGAGATTGGTGCATGACGCACTGAGCCCCTCCCCACAACAGCTGGTGCTGAGTCACCCAGAATCTCTATTGGTGAGCAAGTGATCTGCAGATTACAGCGGGCGGAGAGCCCCTCTTCCCCCTTTTTTTTTTCTTTTTCCTTTTTCTCTTTTTTCTTTCTTTTTGTTTTTTGTCTTTTTAGGTGATCTAATACATCGAAGCAATCAGAGTGACAGTCAGAATGAAGAAACAAAGAAACATGTCCCAATTATAAGATCAGAAGAAACCTCAAGAAATGGAACTAAATGAAACAGAGATATCCAACTTTTCAGAGACAGGGTTTAGAACACTGATGATAAGAATGATTCAGGAACTTAAGGAGGACATAAAGAAGTATACAGAAATCATAAAAAACAACCAGGTGGAACTAAAGAATACAATAACTGAAATGAAGAACACACTCGAAGGAATCACCAGTAGATTAGATGAAGCAGAGGATCAGATCAGTGATTTAGAAGACAAAGTAGCAGAAATCACCCAGTTGGAACAACAAAATGAAAAAAGAATAAACAACAATGAAAATAGTTTAAGAGACCTGTGGGACAACATCAAGCGCAACAACATTCGCATCATAG